GGAGGCCAAGGGAAGGGCAGCATAAGGAGTTAAGGAGTTAATGAAATGGAGTCAGGATATAGAAAGAACGGTGCAAGAAAGGCACAGAGCAGGAGAAGAGGAGGACGGATAGTGCACCTGTAGGAAACGAGTTGACTTGTCCGATCGAGGGTCGAAGCCATACCTGACCCAGAGGCTTCGCCAGGGCCCGTCCTTGTAGTTGAAGGCGACAAGGGGGAGGAAGCGAAGATGCTTCTCTGCCTCCTCCAGGATGGTCCCCTGCAGCGCGAGCCTCGACCATATGGGTCGCTGCTCAAACAGCCTCCTCAGCACCCCCATCGAGGCCTCGCGCCCTTCCCATCCCATAGTGACCTCCACTGCCTGAGCATGAGGTGCTGAGGGGGGGGGGGGGAGAGGGCGGAGAGAGGGATGATGATGGGAAGCAAGGAACGGAATAGAAGCGAGGGAGGCGAGGAGGAGTGGTAGATAGAAGGATTGTGCGAGAATCGGCAGCATCGGCAATTTTGAGTTTTTATGAGTTGGTGGGTTATGATGAAGAATCACACAGACCTGTTTGCTAGCGGATGTCTTGCGACTGATCTTGATCTCGTTCAGAGTCCTTCTATCCCACTTCCTGGAGAATATCGACGGTGTTGTATTTCTATGAATCTCTTGCAAAAATTCCGGAGCCTCACAGGTACTGTTAGATTCAATGAAAATCGAAAGTCCCACAAAACCCATGCATGTTGAGACGTTTGTCTGATTGAATCAGCCGTTCTGAAATCTACATTAGCATCGCACTCAGTTCACTAAGAAGGTTGATCCAATGCCCTGGGGGGGGGGCTGTAGGATGAGTTGTGGTAGACCAGAATACAGAATACATTCACGTTGCGTTGTTATCCAAGAGCAAAATGTAACCCATTGTGCATAAGTTTTGTGGTTCCTCCAGTCCTGGCTCGCTCGTTGAATCTTTGAATCATGCTACACTGCTCACCGCCTTTCTCTTCACTTAGTAGTTGCCCGACAAGATGCTTCCAGCAACAAGTGCAGCGAGACAGTCTCTGCAGAGCTGCCTCAATTGGAAACTCTGACCTACAACGCAAGAGCTGCTACCGGTGTGACTGATGAACGATAATGACTCGACGTGCTGCGCGGCTTCACAACAAGTCTGCTTCCGAATTGCCCACTTGGCAACTCGTTCGCCTTTTCAACAGCATCGACCGTTGCAACATAAGCTGAATTTACCTTCAAAGATCGACTCGCGCGATTCGGTCTCGGCCTCGGCGCCGTGACCGACGGTTCCGCCGGGAGCGGCCCGGAGGCTCCGGCAGTTCGAGGGTCATGACTTAAAGGGACGGGGCCCGGCCAATGCTGGTTCGTTTTACTGTTCAATTTTTTTAAGTTTACCGCACGGGGGGCACTAAGTTCAACCATGGCTGACGGGCTGTAGTACGGTACTCGCGTACTGCCACCGCGTCAGCATCCGTGACTGATAGTAGTTCGAGTCGCCTGACCTCCTCTGAGATCATATCTCAATAGACTACCCCCTAGAAGTCCCTCGTCAGCTGAGGCTGGAGGGAGGGTGCAGTAGGCGGTGTGGAGTGGGGCGTACTTGGGCTCCACCAAAAGCGGATCCCCTTTTCGGGTAATCTATTTTGACCACCCACCCCCCGGGCCCCTCATTGGGGTGACCGGCGAACCGTTAGAGTCTATTTGACACCTGACGACCCTGACCCCACCCGGTGACCCGTGGCGTGACCAACTTCACTCAAGTCCATTATGTGTCCCCCCGTGTCCGAATGCTCGTGCCCTTCACCCGTGATCAGTCATTCCAGATGACTCGTGCCACCCCCCTTCCTAGTACCCTGGCCCAGTGGGGACTTGCGGCACCTCAGCAGTGACGTCAGGACCCCTACCAAATAGTTTACCCCCTAGGAGCAACCTCTTATCGGGGCACCCTACTAGGCTAGTGGCCGTGATCCGTTCCCACGCGGCCTGACAGGCCACTTTTCGAGTACCGTCCTCTTAAGGAGTCCAACAGACTCAATGCGTTAGAGACACACTACCCGGCCCGGGGGTGGGGTACTCGAGGTCGAGGGCAGGGTACTTAAGAAGGGGGATATGGAGATCTAGGGGTACAAGAGGCAAATGGATGGGGTGAATGTTTGCTGACACGGATCCACTGGGTAGGGTACGCAAGAATCAGACTCGGCGGGGGGGGGGGGGGTGATCTGAAAACTTTCTGGTCAATCTGAGTAAAAATAGTAAAAGAGAAAATGACGGTCGGGGACTAGAGACGGTGGGTGGGCAGAAGGCTCTGCATGGTGGGGTATAGTTGTTTGTCTGATGATTCTTTGGAGAGGGTGGGGGTGGGGTAAGATGTCTAGTGGAGGAGGGTAGGGTGACTCGGACTAGAATTTCCTCCAATGGGGGCGACGTCAGACAAGTTTAGTAAACCAATGGTTCAGGGGTAGGGGTGGAATCTGACCAGGTAGGGTGATATAGGGCGTAAGGGATTCTGTGGGGTGGGGTTAGGACCCCCAGTACCTCTGCTCCCGCTGGTCCCGCTGGTCCAGATCCTTGTTGTGACGCAGGTGGAGGAAGGCGAGGAGGAGCACTTGACAGCAGACTCGGGGGAGAAGAGCGGAGAGCAGGCTAGAAGGCATATGCAACTTGTGGGAAGAGGAGAAAGAGAGCTCAATAGAAACGTGCTGTGCGAGGTAGAGAACGTTACGACGAGCATTGATTGACGAGTTGTTGTGCTCGATTGTGTATGTCTGTCCCACCCGTTCCCCTTTGAATATCATCGTCGATACGTCATCGTCTATCCTACTTGTCTTGTGCTTCGAAATGGCTTCCTCCCTCTTTGCCTAGGTATGAAAGTGATGGAGTACGGCAAGTCGCGAATAGTACGTTGAAAGTCAATTGGTGTGTGTGTCAGTGTTGTATCCTACATCTACAGCACCAGGTGCGGCTTCAGCGGAGCAACACTACTATAGCCAGACGAGCTCTGATCCTTTGCTGTATTTGCACTTCGTAATCCCCATTGAGGTCTTTGAAGTTTCCTACCCCTCCCCTACCCCAACTGCCCTGTCGGGAGTCAACTCCCGACCTTGGGATCCCATGGCTCAGACTAGACAGCAAGCAGCGAGGTTTGAGTGTGTGCATAGAGGAAAATTTACCTGCCACTATCGCATCGACTTGTATGTTTGTGCACCTTTTTTGACATGCTTCTTGTAGATGTGTACGACACCAGCGTCATCCTCGTCATCAATGCCTTGTAGCGCAAACCTCTCCCAGCAGGAGGAGGCGGACGAGTTGGCGCCAGCCAGGTCCTACTCGTCCATCTTGTTCGAGTCTCCTGTGGATCATCTTCACAACCCCGGGCACAAGGGAGATCAGGAGGAAGACTTCGACTCGCCGGACTACGACTCCGACCTTGACATGGAGATGGAAACGAGCTCTACCTCCTCCTCGCTCTACACCTCGATAGACCATGATCAGCCTCAAGCTGCCTCGTCGTCTCTTGAACAGGCTGCTGGTTCGCTTTCCAAGCACGGGAGGACGTGGGACGGCGAGGCTCGCGCGAGGCACAGCGAGCGATGCACAGGGAGATCGAGGCTGACGCTCTCGGAGAAGACGGACATCATCAAGCTCTACTACGAGCCGTCCTCCTCGAGGCCTCCGGTGGACCAGAAGACGCTGGCTCGGATGTACGGGAAGAGCAAGGCAGCGATCAGCAAGATCTTGAAGCCGGAGTACGCGCACCGGGTGCTGTCGAGCTATGCCAAGGTCGTGGGGGCAGAGGAGATGACCAAAATGCATCTTGACAGAACGAAAGAACAACCAGGCGACGGTGACAGTCATCAACCAGCTGGTTCTGTGAATGAGACACTTGATGGAATGTAGGGACTTTCATCATGGTCTCAATATTTTGTTTTGCTGGTTTTCCTTCCCACCCTTGTTTTCCTCTGTCTTTCCTTCTTCTCTCCTTCTTCTGTTGCTTCTTTTCAATGTGAATGACAACAAACCATCGTAATAGCAATATGCTAGAACTTTCAAGGTACATTTGTAAGCTGAAACCCTTGTATCGGGATCATAAATCCAACAGAAAGCTATCAGCTATCAGAAGGCAGTGAATGCTTCATTCGATATCATCGCATGAGTGCTGCCTCATTCTTTGATCTGAAAAAATTGTTGTCACCTTCTTTCATGGAAGCTGTAATTGTGATGAAGAGACGCATAAGCAGGATCTGATAATGAATGCTTTCTCATACAGCTATCACGCAATGTGCGATCATCATCGATGACAAGAGACCTGAAGGAAAATTACTTTCAGAATCAGACCTGAACCGCCGGTGCGTAGAACTAAGCTCATTCAAAGGTCGGAGAAAGAATGAAACAGTCTGAAACTTGTGACTTTAGACAAAACTTTGAGTGCCTTGGGAAAGTGAATGTATGCATTTTTTTAAAAAGCTCTCTGTGACAAAAATGAACGGTGGACGTAACCTTTACTCAAAGTAGAAGAAGGGCAAACCGTAACCTGTTGTATTGTGGACTCATACCGGACGCCCCTTTAGGGAAATAGGAGGACGATGTCAGAAAGCAGCAGTGACGTTGCTGATCTGATGTGTGTGTGTGCTTGATAAACAGTGATCCTAAGATCATCTGAGCTCAAGGTCTTACGCAAGGTTGTGTATACAACATATGGTAGCGAATTGGTTCACATTCCAGCTTTGATTCAGAATCTCAAACGATTCTAAAAATGATTTCAGCAAAGAAAGCAAGCAAACTGTTGAAAGTGAAAAGATCGCGTATGGCTCAGACCAGCGAACGAAGGATTCCGAGATCTACGGAACAAGTTTCTGATCCAACTTCACTCCACCCAAGGACGCCCCTTGGGCGTAGCGTAGGGAATTAGGAGGACGATGCCAGAAAGCTGCAGTGACGCTGCTGATCTGATGTGTGTGTGTGCTTGATAAACAGTGATCCTAAGACCATCTGAGCTCAAGGTCTTACGCAAGGTTGTGTATACAACATAACCAGTCTCTAATTATCCATTTTGCTTCATGAGACAGATGCGTGGGGGTACCTCTCAAATCAATGTCAACTCATATCGCGCATGCCCTGCTACAGATCTGAGTGTGCTGCTAATGCGGAGTGGATTCTTGCCCCCTGGCAGGTAATAAAATTCCACGTCACCGCTACCGCTGGGTGCGCTCTTTTTGTCTGTTTTTGTTACTGCCATGTCAACTTTCCACCAGCTTCGCATTCTTACAAGCGTACAGCCTCGTGAAGTGAAGCGAACATCACATGATCCTAATCACACATGTGGAGCTGGTAGAAAGTTGGCAAAGTAGAAAATTTGAAAGGATGATTGAGAAATACTGTCGGATTCCGGCAGGATGGAAAGAAAGGGTCTAAGGGAGCTGGAGAGATACGAGAGACACTGGTGGTGGATACTGGAGGATCTGGCAGACTGAAAAAAGGGCATTTTGGACTCTTTAAAAGAGAAAAGCGCAGCGAAAGCACCTCAAGAAAAAACAAAAAGTATAGATTGTTCCCTCAGCAGCTACAGAGTGTTCCCTGAGCAGCACATGCTAGCCATTGTGAAGACGACAAAACAAAGAGAAAGAAAGGAAAAGTAGATCCAACAAACCATATGAGAAACTCCGCAGAACAGAATAGGAAAGGCAAAACAGGCAGGTAAAGACACACTACGAAACAAAACAATCAAATAAATCATTTCGGGGAAAGGGATAGAATGGGAGGAGAGTTCAGACTGGAAGCTCTGATCAATATTGACCAAGGTGTGAAACGACACAGAAAAAAAAAAGAAGAAACAGAGGTTCAATGTTATGCAAACTGGCCTTCAAGTTTGAGTAGAAACATCTTAAGGAGTTGCATCTACTACTGGTCTCGTCTTCAAGCAAGGATGTCAACAACTTTCCCCAACATCCTTGTGAAACTTCTGTCTGTACCATAAAACTACGTTTTTGCTTGACATCCTTTGCGAATGTTTGTCATCTACATCCTAGCAATCGTGCTTCAGCAAGATTAATGTACCACAATCGTCTCCCGATGATCGTACAGCCCGCCCCCAAGTCGAGTGAAGTTCCTTCTACCCTCCCTTCCCTGCGAGGATGGCTTGCCTGATGATGAAAGAAAGATCGCTTATCTCCTGTGTGCTCAAGATTCTCACACACTTTGACAGAATCCAGATAGCGTAGTTTGGCTTCAGGATCTTGCTGATTGCTGCCGGGCTCTTGTTGTACATCCTGGCCAGAGTCTTCTGATCGAGATGAAATGATGAGGTCCGAGTGGAGGTGTAGTAGAGCTTGATGATCTCTGCCTTTTCTATGAGTGTCAGTCTTGTTCTTCCTGTACATACTTCGCTGTGCCGTGCGCGAGCTGCCCCGTCCCAATTCCTCTTCTTCCTCTCCTTCGAGCTTGACCCGTAATGGTCCAGGTTCTGTGGCTCTGACGTCGGGTCGCCCACAATACATTCTCCGTCCACGGCATCGTTGAGATCCTCTTGGAGTAATTCTTTTGAAATTATGGAGGAGGAGGAGGGGGATGCATGCGAGAACATGGGAAGATAGTCGGAGATAGGGGGGAGAGAGCTTGAGGTTGGTTCTATGGCGCCCGCAAGGATGGGAACAGATGAGTCAGGATAGGATGGAACGATCAGTGATGGGAGGCACTTGAGTTCATCTCCATGGAGAGTGAGAGAAGTGATGGAGGATGATGGTAAAAGGCTTGAGCACTGAGAGACAGAGAGTGCATCATCATGGAGAAAAGAGAGCACGTGGTCAATGCTAAAAGAGAAGAGAGAAGTCGAGGTTGAATTGTCCTTTGCCGAGTGCTTGTTGATGGTAATGGGATGAAAGTGCTTGATTTTGGTCTGCTTGCCATGCTTGAATGAAGGAGCCTTAGTGCGCACTGGAGTAACAAGTTTTGATGCAGAAGAAGCATGAGAAGGGGAGTAGTTGTTGAATGCGGATGAAGCCTCATCGTGGATAGAAGGCAAGCTGCGGAGTGAGGAAGTTAGCCTGTTGAAGGATATAGATGCTTTCTTTGATGAACAAGTCGCGGAATAGGCATCAGGCTCCATGTTGTTGGCGGGTGGCGACACCGAACCCAGCATTCCCAGCAACTCTCCGCGATGGCTTGTACAGAGTTGTAAAAATGTTTGTATAATTCTGTATAATACCAGGAGATTATTATAATTCCTGATTACAGCTCGTTATAATTATCGAAGATTCTATATAACACGCATCGTTACAAAACATTCTGAAAAAGTCCTTTTAAAAATTTGCTGTCGTTTGAGCCCCTTTTAAAAGTGGAAGTTGACATGTTGGACAATACTGCAACAATTAACAAACAATTATATATGTTCTTTATTAATAGTTATAAGCATACTAAATTACTTTTAGTGATTTGAAATTTTGAGGGACGTGATGATTAAGATGAAACTTTAAGAAATTTTCCGTTCGCTTTCAAATTTTGAAATGTATCAAAAATCGAATTTCTTCAAACTTCAGATTTGATATATATCTCATTGTAAGTAAAAACTCATAAAACAATCAGTTTTTCAACTAGTACGACGGCGACGGCTGAGTCACTCCGGCTGTTGGCCCGGCCCCGGCGCTACGATCGCCGCTATTGATGATTGAGCCGGCCCGGGACCGTCCGGACTCCGGCGGCCCGGCGGCCCGGGGCTGCTCACCCTGGCACCGCCGGGCCGCCGACTCGAGCTGTCAGCCGCGGCAGCAGCAGCAGCAGCAAATCGGAATGCACCCGGTGACGGGGGCCGGCGACGGCCGCCCGGGCCCGCGGGGGCCCGGCCGCCCGGCCGCGCCGGCCGGGGCGCGGCGGCCGGGCGGCGCCGGGCCTGGGCCGCGCTTGATCGGAGCGGCTTTTCACCGTGAAGTCAAGCCAAGCCAGGCTTCAGCCAGCCTTGTTGTGTCTGTTGTGTACTACGGGAGTACGGTATGAACTCGAAAGGCAGCTTGAAACCGTGCCGCATGCCAGAGCCTGGAGGCTGGCATTCGAATTGCCAAGTTGAACTTGGCTCAGCGGCTTTGGGCACCGAGTGTCTCCGACACTGTGACTGGCACGGTTCCGACACGGTACTCTTATCAGAGCTCTGCAAAGGTGAACTTATTCAACTTCCGCCTCCACAGGAATGGACACCAGTTAATGACTGTGAACAGGGGTGGGCAGCCGCTCAGCGAAACTTCGGAAGTTGATAGTCTTCTCTTCCAGCTATGAGGGCAGCAAGAGCTCTCTACGGCCACCGGCTACTGGACCTCTGTTGGGCGACAGAGTGTGCAAAACACGGGTGGTATCATGTACCTCGAGGAGGAGCAGGCAGCAGATCTAAGCGAACGCACGAGGGATGCTCGCTCGTGCGTGAGGAGCTTCACCATAACCTGTTGGTTCCCTTCGTCAACAACTGCTAAGGTGGTCTGTGCTTCCCCTCGCTGTGTGCGCCACGAATTGATAGTGTGATGGCGTTATCAAATAAACTTCATATCTCTACTGTTATCAAATAAACTTCATATCCCTACTGTTATCAAATAAACTTCATATCCCTACTGTTATCAAATAAACTTCATATCTCTACTGTTATCAAATAAACTTCATATCTCTACTGTTATCAAATAAACTTCATATCTCTACTGTTATCAAATAAACTTCATATCTCTACTATTATCAAATAAACTTCATATCTCTACTATTATCAAATAAACTTGATATCTCTACTCTCCACCTTTGTGTGCGATCCAGCGGAGGTGCCTTGAGAATTCACTGTAGACGTCTGCAGCCGGTTTCAGCCTATTCGAAGATGTCATACTTCTTGATCACGGAGTCTGGGCTACATCTCTTAGTATTTTGAGATCTGCGTATCTCTCTGATATATTTACAACAACACAATGATGAGTAATCAAACAATCACGAAACACCCCAAGCGGTCAATAGAACATCGCCAGGGGCTGCTGTTCCCTTGCTGGTAGTGCAAATAGGAGCTGCATGGCTGAAAGTTGCCGCAGGTGTCGATGGACGAGCTGCAAATTTTCCTGCTCAGGGAGTAATAACAAGCCTGCCCATCATCATTCGAAGACTTGTGGTCCCCGCGCACAACTGGCAATGATTGCGAAGGTGCTCGGTGGCTGCATGCTAGTGCAAAGATGGCACGTTCCGATAAGATGGCGTCGCTGTAGTCCAGTGCTAAGATTTGTGTACTAGGACGATCATACGACATCTTAGCTGAACGCATGACAATGCAGGAGAAAGTAGAGGAGAACTTGCTGGTGGGTAGGACCAAACGATAGGCTGCTCGCTGGCAAAGAAGAAGGGAATGGGTTCTTCAAGGGTCCTTCAAGGCATACGAGACACAATTCTGTCAAGAAAAGCATTTTTCTGAATCGTTGTATGTTTAGACGGTCAGCGTCAGCAGATCAAGTATACTCCTTGCAGTGACCCCATAAAACCCTATTCCCGGCGGGGGTCCTTTAAGTAGTAACCACAAAACTTTCGATCAAAGTTTGTGTCGAAAGTTCATCTCATTTTCGTTCACCCTACGGAAATTTCATATTTAGTCACGAGGACTCCGATAAGGTATATTTCTATCCGAAGAGACGGCTTTCCATGTCATGATCACGGCAATAGTGGTTTACAGATGTCAGCATCACGGTACCAAAAAGGGTCAGAGGTGCCTCCCCTCTCCCCCATCTAGTTTTATCCCCCCGCTCCGTCAGGTTTTCCCCCGGCTCATTCGCGTCCACCTTCACAAACCAGCTCCTCATCTCCTCCTCGACGATACACATACAATCCAGTCATTCTCCTTGCTGTTTCATAGGCTTCAACCTGCTCAACGCTGCCTATTCTGTCTTGACTTCTGCTTCTCCCTACATTTTCGCAAAGACCCAGAACAAACTGTTGGTATCAGTTTTCGCACAAAATGCAGCTGCCGCAGCTAGTGTTTCACTCTACACGGATTCACATGATTTCTATTTCGACTTACTCAAAGGAGCAACCCCATCACTGTGATATGTCGTCGGACAGCGATGGAAAATTGTCATCCAGTCTGGAACCACACCCTTTCCCTTTTCAACTCAGCACAGAAATCTCTTGCTCTTCGATTGACTCGAATGGGAATTTCAAGCCCTTTAGCTCCTATTCGCTCTACGAGGCAGCGCATAATAATCCCTGGACCAGCTCCATCAACCATACAGGAAACTTCGTTCAGAGCTGAAAGGACTGTGCTCGAAATATCAGCAGCAGCAATTACAATGTGACTGCCCACAACACTGTCAAGTCTTGTAAATTTGTGTTATTCTTGAAATGTTAAGGTACTCCCCCTCATCAAGTTAGATTGAAATAAACTTGCCAATAATGTGAAAGATGAAAATGTCCAACCCGGTAATAGTGCAGGCGTGCTATTGTATTATGTTGTGCATACTCTTCCCTCTGGATGCGTTTTTATGTTTGTGCACAAAGTTCCTCCATCTAAAGCAAGAATCGAGAAAACAATCTCAAAAGAACATAGATGAGTAGTTGGAAAAAGATGCCACCCAAATCGAACTTTACACAGTATCGAAGTCGAAAATTTGTTTTTTTGTGGCACCATTGTGCATTGACACATCGCGCAAAATCTATTTGAAATACATATTTATTTAAATCTGCAACAAATTCCCTGTTTTAGGAGCTGTTCACTTCTCATTGCTGTAAAATACAAGATCTGTTGTTAAAGGAAACCTCACGCCCACCCTCATCGTCTTCGTCATCGTGCAAAGTTTCCGTGTCGATCGATAGAGCTTCTCAAGGCATTCCTATGAGCTGCTATGTAGCTTTCGTAGCTGCTGCATGGCTGAAAGTTGCCGCACGAGTCGATGGCTAAGTGCGCGATCTCTGAGCTCAGGCACCACGATGAAACCAACCTTTCTTGCGGCTTGGGGGCATCTCTTGAAATCGCAGCGTCGGATTCCTGATCAGAGCAGAAGTATACATGCATCGTCGGAGCATGATCGACTGAAATGAACGAGGAAGGCTGAGAAACAAGAAGACACATGTCTGTGCAAGCAAAGAAGCTGATGGGTCTTAGTTTGAGCAGGCGGGAGTAGAGGTTTGAAACGTGCGGAGAGAGCCGATGAGGGATAAAGATATTCCGATGCAATTGGTGGGGGGAGGAAGGGGGAAAGGAGGGACAAGTCGAGGATGGAGGGGAGAGGATGACAGCCAATATGGAAGTGCTGATAGAGGGAGGGAGAAAATAAGGGGCAGGCGCACTGGGTATCCAGAATTCCGAGGAGCAGACAGAGGAGACAAGATGTGAAAATACTTCTTTTCGGGTTGCATCGGCATTTGCTGACTGGGTCACGTGTAACCATCCATGGGATAAAGAGCTATTATTATATCCAACACGATTGGATCGTTGCGAATTCATAGTGTCATAATTGCCGTTACGCTTTTAACGGACAGATAAGACCGAGGGCCCGTAAGCGTCGAAACGCTGCTGACGTTGAGGCTTTAACTTCCCTCGATTAGCACGACTCTGGTCACGGACGCACCACTCACCGTCAAGTACGTGTACCCCCTAGGCTTCACGTCCGTACTGATAGTACGGTACCGTGGCTGAACTTGATAGTACTCCGAGCGGATGGACGGACCGTACGGTACGTACCGTCGGTGAACTCAGCGGCCAAGTTGAACTTCACATCCGATCGCTGAGTCGACCAGCGGCCGCGGGGCGGCCGCGGGGGCCACCGTTAGAACACACGGCCGCGTGCGGGGCAAAAAGGTGGCAACTTGGCCGACCGTGTGGAATGGGCCGCGGCCCGGCCCGGCCGCGGGATCGCACTGCGGCCGCACGCGGGATGCCGCCGCGGTGACGACGGTCCGCGGTCGACGGCGGGGCCGGGTCACGGGTCGCCGAACTAAACTTTGAGTAAAAAAAAAAACACTGACAGTTGATTGCCGCACGGTGGCCCGGCCCGGCCGGGCCGCACTGCACACATTCGTTCACAAAGTCACGTGTGAAAGTGATCGGAAGCTGCCGCAGGTCCTCGTACGGGGGCGCCCGGTGGGTTTGAAAGTGTTTACGTTTAATTCATCACGAGCTGAAGACTCCTGACAATAGGATGGCATGTTCAGGCATACGGAAAGAAAAGAATCTGGGGGCAAGTAATAAAGGCATGAACAGGTTTCGCAAGGCAGCAGGAGCAAAGAGGCAAAAGGCGAAGATGCAGGAGAAGGTTCGCAATGGTCTTGAAGGTTTTGGGCAGAATGTTCATCGGAGAGAGTCCAAGTTGGAGGTACTGAACGAGATCCTGAGTCGCATCCCGTCCAAAACCTATGGATGCCAAGCACGCAGATCAGCACAGCAGCGGGAAAGGGAGCAGGGGAGACTCACCGTCCCGTGCGTGTAGCAGAGTGCCTCCGCTGCATCCTGGATGGAAGGGAGCTCAACCTGTCAGTCCACGTTAGATCATCAGCCGACTCGCAGCCAGCCTTGCGAGAGAGAGTGAGTGGGGAAGGGAGGAGGAGGAGGCAAGGACGAGGGAGGCTGAGGAGTACCAGGGCCATCTTGCGGTCCACAGTCTGCGTTTCTGAGCGACCGCTGATGAATTTCAGCTTTGCGACAGGCCCGTAGTCAGCAAACAAGCCCTGCACAAGGGAAAAGAAAAAATGTCAAATAGGTGCTCAAAGGGAATCTTCAGCAACCCAGCAGTACATACCTTGAGGTCGTCCTCAGTGACGTGCAAAGGGATGTTGGAAATCTGTTGTCAGAGAGTAAGAAGAGCTTCAAGCATCGACGGAGATAGAGCTCATACATGCAGCAGCTTGCTCGGTTCGATCGAAGGGATGCTCCTTGCATTCGCTCCACGGTACCTGCAAACAGAGGAGTCAACAGACGGGCCTCCCTCTCCTCCTGTCCCTCACCTCTGGATGTTCGAGGTAGAGTAGTCTCCAAAGAGCTTCGCGCCCTCCTCTTCGATGTCAGATCGATTAGCCTGGACCTGGAATGAAGCGGTCAGTCTGAGCTTACACAGTGGCGAGGAGGCGATCGCACCGTGTCGTGCTTCGAGGTCGAGATGACGAGGTTGCGTCCCCAGAGAGGGCACTGGAGCAGGACCACGTCACAGACAAGTAGACAGCGAAGCTGGGAAGCAGCAAAGGAGAGGAGAATTCGAGAAAGGTCACCGAGTTCAGGGTAATACGAGCGTTCTCCGCATGATCAGGCGACTCGAATTGAATCAGTGCCGAGTCACGCTGGAACGGCAGGATGAGTTGAGAGAGACAAGCATGCGCCTGGTTCGCACCTTGTTGTACAAAATCTTGATTTTCTGGATGATTCCACAGGTGCTGAGCAAGCCATGTCAACGTGACTTCCAACTACGGCTCCTCTCACCTGAACAAGTTGAAGAGAGCGTCGATAGTCACTCTATCAGGATCAAGGTTGTTCACAAGGATCACAGGACTGCAAAAAGATTGCATGTCAGCCCGACTGTTAAGAAGACAATTCGAAAATGAATATTATGATCATGACCCAACACTTTCACCCAAAAAGTCGTCTCTTACCTCTTGTACATGCCCATCATGGGATCACGTCCCATATCATAGGGATACATGGACCTGCAAACACACGCGTCACACTTGGCTCCACCTGATCCTCTGACTAAAATACCTTGGATCCAACCCCGGAGCCCCTCTAGCCGGCATTGGGATCCTCGTGTCGGGCGCAAGTCCCCTGGTACCAAACCCAGCACCATTGGGGCTGTCGCCACCCCAGCCAGGGGACAGAGGGTTCCTCCGGACATCAGCGCCCAGGGGACCAAATGAACGAGTGTCCGGGATACGCAGCGGATCGATGCCCCGCTGCGGGTCCATACCAAAGGCTGGGTCGAGCCTGGGGTCGGCCAACATACCAGGATCCATCCTCCCTCCTGGGTCCATTCGCATGTCCAGGAATGGCTCACCACCAAGGCGCATCCTGTCGATCCCTCGGGAAACATCAATTGCAGCAGCACTCCAGTTGCTCTGAGATGCTGGAGGGCGTCCGTCGATTGGCCTCATGTCGTATCGATCGGCTGGAGATTCGTTGGGGTTTCCAGCTGGAAGGTTAGGGTTGGTAAAATCGTAGGATCGCTCGTTGTTGTACTTGACGGTGATGTCGAGGAGGTTTGAGAACCCAATCTGCAGATTGTTGCAACCATTGTAGATGTTGAGACCGTTGAAACGATCCAGGGCAGCCTGGGCATCCGCAGGGCGCTCGAACTGTACAAGAGCTTGTGTCTTGCCCTGCTTGTTGAAGATGACAATCTTCTCAATCGTTCCCATCATCGAGAACACCTGATACATCACATCCACGTCCACCTTGTACACCACGTTCGTCACAGTCACAAGAAGGATCCTTGCATCGCTGTTGGGAGGGACTGCGTTCCAACTTCGCTCGCGCACGAAGCCTTCACCCTCATACTCCCGCGTGGGCGGGGATAGCTCAGTCTTGTTGGAGTACTGTGCAACGATGACGCGCGTTCCAACACGTATCGGCACGCTCTCGCACTCTGCCAACATCCTCGCACTGTCTTCAAGACTCACGAACTCAACGAAGGCCTGGTGCTTGCGGGACAAGTGGAAGACCCGACGAACCTCGCCGAAGCGGCTGGCGAGGGTTTTCAAGTCTCCTTCATTGCATTCCTCTGGGAGGTTACGAATGTGAAGGACTTTAGATGGTTCTGTTGTGTACTCGGACATTGAACCTGGAACCACATACTTCAATTCCTCAAGCCATCCCACCACACGAACCTTACCGTCGACTTAGAGCTTTAGGAGGAAGAAGCGCAAATCAAGAGAAGAGCGTTCACAAGACGTAGGAAGGAACAGAAATGTCACTGGGACGACGGAAAAGCGCGCACCAGAAGAAATGGAGCGTTCGAATGGAGCGATGGATAAAGCCGGTTATCTCAAGCACCAGCAACGACCTCGATCTGCTACTTTAGGAAAAGGCTAGCAGAGCAATCAACGTGAAGAGGCTGGGATGAGGAAAGGCGGGGGGTCACCAATGAGAGACAGGAAAGTCCTTGATCGAAACACGCGTGCGTGAGCGAGTCGATGCTGAGGGGTGGGTTGGAGGAGCGCAGCGGGGGGGGGGAGGAGGTTGCGGGGGCGGTGAGATGAGGAGAAGGAGAGGGCACAAGAGAGGGGAGAGGAGGGGAGAGGGAGGGGAGGAGGAGGGGACGAAGGCGAAGGGGGGCGGGGGGGAGGGAGGGGGGGGGGGAGGAGGGGCGAGGCGGAAGGGAGGG